AACCCATACAGCAAATTTCGTCCTAAAGACATCCCAAAACATTCCGAACACTCCTGGAACAGTCATATCCGTAAAGTGTCAGAAGAAAGAATTTCGTAGGATGTCACAAATAGACAGCAATATGACAGGCCTTTCAAAGGAGTGTTTTAGGAGTCTTGTAGGATCATCGTTCAGCGCATGCGTGTTAACTTCAACTTTGCCGTTAATGTTATTTCTTTTATCCAGTGACAAGAGCAATTCTGCTAGTGAAATCTAAACAATAAGGTATTTATAAGCTCAAATATCTTATTAGTTTCTTTTTTGTTTATCTTTCTTTTTTTTATTATCTATTTATATATTTGATTTATAAGTGTACTTGAACCCCCGTCATTATCTTTAATATCTCAATTGCAATGTTTACATGCATGTTTGCAATGCTTACATACATTACTAAATGTTTAAATGCGTATTTTATTTAATTTTTTCATAATTATTGAGGAAGTTTTACTTTTATTATTTCGTGAGGCGAATTTTTATCTGTTCTGATAACTCTAACTAAATGATGGAACTAAATGAAAACGTGATAAATTAATGTCTGATATCTACAGGCTCCCGATAGAGGGCGCACTCGAGCGTTGCGATCGCGAATTGTTTGAAATATTGTAAGTAAAATGGTTAAATATTTTTTGTTTATTAATATCAATGCTATTTCTTAGTTTAAGAATAAACACAACCAAAATCTTAATTAGTTAAGGTTCAAGCTTTTATTAGTCTGGACTGATCCTTATTTTGAGCTATTCCTTTTAAGGTTAACATAAGCATATAAAAATCAACTTTATAGTATGCTTATGTTAACCTTAAAAATCAACTTTATAAGTAATTAATTATATATTACTATTATGGTGTTCAAAATAGGCTTAATAATATATGTCTGTGTCTATCATGTATGCCTGCTAGCAGAGCGTTGTATGTAAACAGAATTGGCATTGACAAAAAAGCCTAGGCGCTGGACTCGTGTTTGTGATAACGGGAGTTCGAAGCCTGTCAGCCGAAGAATCCCCGTGTATTAAATGGTGACTGGTGTACGTTAAATCTAATTGCATCACTAAGTCCCCCAAGTTTCCATAACAAATCAATACCATTGGGGTACTAATCCAGAAGTTTCCTTGTCTTCTGAATTGGGTTGAAAATTACAAGACTCAGGAGTTGAACATTAGTCGTCATAAATTTAAAATTAGGTCGGCTGTTCAACGACGGTAATAAAATAAAATATAAGTTACTATTAGAACCCACGGTGGCTCAGGGAATAGAGAGCTCACCGCCCAACTAGGTAAACTGGATTCGAATTTCAGCTATGGCTGGTGGATTCTAATTCCACACCACAGAGTCCCCTTGCCGTGAGGCTCTCAATGGGTGGTTTTCCACTATATGTAACGCAAATGTGCGTGAGTTTCATCAAAAAACCCTCCACGAAGGCAAATCTCTCCCAATACTTAATTCAGGAGTTCCCTTGTCTTGTGAATTGGGCTCAAAACTACAAGGCTACTTTAGTAAGTGTAAACCCTAAATGGGTCGGCTGTTCCATGGCGGTTAAAAAATAAAATATAAGTTATTAGTGTATTTTTTACTTTTAAACAAATAAATAAACTTGCTTGATAAGCGAATTAATCAATACGAATTAATTGAAACGAATTAATCAAAAAACACAGTGGAACGACGATCGATGACATGATGACATATTTTACAAAGTACTTCTCAGAATAAACCCTTCTAGCGATACTTGAGGGAAACGGTTAGTTTTTTTGGGATTTATAAGAGTTGACACTCAAAAATTGGTGACCTAGAAGTGACGTCATCATAGGTAAATCGTTGCGTATGCCGATTCAGAAGACAATCAGGCTCAACACTCGTGTGACTTCGCTTACAGGTGTCCAGTTAAAATCCAATTTAAATTGCATGGTTATACACAATCACTTTATTTCTTTTCGAGTTGCAAGTATACAATTTAGAGTTTAATGTCTTTTTCATATTTTTTTGTTCTTTTATTCCATATTAATTTTGTTCTATTATAAATTCCATTATAAGCAGAAAAAAATAAAAAAATCACACGGATAATTTATAGAAAAGCATTTACGAAGTAATTACAAGGAATAACAATAACAGTTACCGATATTTATTCTTCTATTAGCTCAAAAGAATTAATTGTGTAACCCAGACGTATTTATTGTATGTAACTTTCAAATAAGTTTCAGAAACGGAAAAACAGAAAAATTTAAATATTTAAGTTAAATAATAATTTATACTTAAATTCAACTTAATTACAATCAAGAAACTGTATAAGAGACGATATAAGAAACTGTTTTAAAAGTTAATAAAATCAATATCTTGTAATAAATAACAAATAGCAGCAATAGAAGAAGTGAAGAATAGGTTTATAATCTATCAATGATGAAAAGAATTTGTTCCCATCCTATATTATTAATAAAATCAATTTTCTTCAACAAATTGCTTGAAAGAAGCAAGGAATAAATATTTTTCCTACAAATGATGATAGGAATATGTTCTCAATTTTACTAATAAAATAAATTTTTTTTATAGAAAATTACAATTAGCTTGGATGTCAAAAATATTTTGAAGGGAGAAAAAAAATAGGTATTTTATTTCTCAATGACGATAAGAAACTGTTTTAGAAGTTAATAAAATCAATATCTTGTAATAAATAACAAATAGCAGCAATAGAAGAAGTGAAGAATAGGTTTATTATCTATCAATGATGAAAAGAATCTGTTCCCACCCTATATTTTTAATAAATCAATTTTCTTCAACAAACTGTTTGAAAGAAGCAAAGAATAAATATTTTTCCTACAAATGATGATAAGAATATGTTCTCAATTT